CAGAAAAAATCTTTCAGAATCTAAAGTAGTACAGCGATGAAGCAATCATTATTTTACAGATGTATGTGTGAGCTTTCAGAGTTTCTGTTTAAAAATCATAAAAATTATTTGCTTGTTCTCCATTTCCTTTGATTCATTGCTAAGTCAGTTTGAAATCATCAGCCCTGCTGTTAGAGTGCCCATCTCATAAAATGGAAAACCCTAAAGTGGGAACCCAGCAGGCTCCACCTCACTTCGTTAATACGTCTTGTGTGAGCCAGTTTTATCTGCATTTGATAGGCCAGATTTCCTCTGTGCTGGAGTCTCTGTCAGAGACTTCCCTGACCTCTTGACCCGGGAAAACTATTAGCAATCCTTGTTCTGCTTAAACCACAGGCATTCTTTAGGGAAAACGCATGGACTCATTTTTAGCAGCCCCAGGGCCTGGGCAAAAGCAAACACAGGGGAAAAATGTAGAAATTAGTAGATCTATCAATAATTTGGAAGGGTACGTAAATATTTCTGACAAACACTAGTTCTTGAACTCTGAGCTCTGAATGTTTAGGTTCACTTTTCTTCTGTTATTTGTAAAATAGATGTTTCAGCAGAGAGGCCCTCTGTCTTGGTGTCTGCCTTTGCCCACCATAGAGGCTGCCACGGTGGGTGGGGTCTATGGCAGACTTCAGTTCATAGGTAAGTCTGGAAGACTAAGTTTGAGATCATTAAATCCTAGTCCATCAGGGTGAGGCAGGGTCAGCTTCTACTGATAAGGCGAGATCATCCCTTGTTTTTCTTAACAGATGCTAACAGTCCAGGAAATCACAGAGACACCCTTCTGAGACTGTATGTGTCTGAATGTAGGGAAGTAAGACCACTCTGTAGCTCCTATTTTGGCATTTGTTTTCTGCCACCATGTATATGTTTTCCCTGAACGTTTTTTTTATTTTTTTGGTGAGGAAGCGTGGCCCTGAGCTAACATCTGTTGCCAATCTTCCTTTATTTTATGTGGGATGCCACCACAGTGTGGCTCGACAAGTGGTGCTAGGTCTGTGCCCAGGATCCGAACCTACGAACCCTGGGCCACTGAAGCACAGCGCGCAAACTTAACCACTATGCCACCGGACCGGCCCCAGCTTCCCCCCATCTTAAATCCCTCTCCCAAGATCCATATTTGCATTTCCAGCTGCCCTTTACACATCCCCTGTCTTGACATGTAGGCATTTCTAACATTTAATAACATTTAGCCCAGAACTAAATTAATTGCCCTCAGCCCCCAAACTTGCTTTATTACTTGCATTCCTGATTTCAGCTAACAACTTCTTGTTCCCTATAGAATGGCTCTTAAACAGAAGAAGTGCATTTTACATCATGACTCACACAGCACACATGCGCACACACACACAGATATATCTGGAATAAAAGTTTCATAAAACAATATGTATCTTTATCATGTGTTACCCTCTGATATCTTCTCTTTGTTTCATCTTTTGAAAAATGCTGATGTCAACACTCTAAATGAAATTTACAATCCCCCAATGGGTCATGAAACCTGCAGTTTGAGAAAACCTGAAACAGAGTTAAAATGCAGTCTCCTGGGATTCAGTATCTGGGCCTAGCCTCCCATGCCATAACCGATTCTACAATCCAGTCACACCAAACTTCATGCTCTTACCCAGACACACCATTTATTCATTCATTCAGTCAGTCAGTCAGTCAGTCAGTCAACATTTACTGAGTACATATTTGGTGCCAGGCACACGGTAGACACTAGGGATCCAAAGATGAACGTCATAGTCTCTACTCTGAGGTTCACCATCCATTGAGGAGACAGGTGAGTAATCTAACAATTATGAGGTAGTGGGTAGGTCCTAGAATAGAATTCTGCACAAAGCCCTTGGAGATCACAAATATCTTGGACAAGAGAGTCCAGAAAGTCATTCAGGAAAAGGTGACCCGGGAGCTCGAGCTAGAAACAGAGGTAGGAGTTAACCTGGCTAATCAGGAGCAGGACATTCCAGAAGAGGAAACCACCATGGGATGATAGGGGGCATGAGCAGCATGAGAATTTGGAGAACTGAAAGTATTTTGACATAAACCTTTCTTTGTAACCAGAATACTGTGCTGTCACTCTCACACTTTCTTTACTTGGCCGACCGTTACTCAGTGTTCCCTCTCTCAGTAAATGATCCTCTCCCATGTAGCTTTTCTCCCTATCCGCAGGTAGACTCAAGCACACCTCCCTTTGGGCTCTCGCCTCCCTCTCCCCACACCTCTGAGAGAACACTTGCTATGTTGAAGGCAGCTCATCCCCGCCCCGTTCATGTGCCTCAGCAGAGGAGGAGCACCTCAGGGAACAGCCCCAGCCTCATCCTGCTGTCTCCTGTGATGGACGCAGTAAACGTTAGCTCAGTGAAGATATGGACTAGTAAAGGAACAGATGTACAAGTCAGGGTGCAGTTTTACGGAGAAGCTGCTTAAACGACTATCTTGAAGACTTTTCAGCGTGTCCTAGCATGTTCTTTAACACTGAAAGAGGCCCCAGATGTTATAAACCTGCTTATTTACATCTGTGGGGACCACATTTTAAATGCTGGTGGCGTCCCAGATGCAATTTTCTTTCGCACTGTTTTATTTGCAAAAGATTATTTTGGCTTTTAGAGAATACTTCTTTTTCCTTCTAACATACAAGTATCTTGGTAGTGGAATTTCTTAATTAACATAAATGAAAATCCGACATCAGAGACAACACACAACCCGTTTCCCTAGTGCACCGGTAGCTTATCGTCTCTACCCGTATATTTAACCCGAATTGCCTTTCCCAGAAAGGATTTCGCAGGAAGCAAAATTGATTTTTAATTCTTCTCTTCCTTGCCACTTTCTGCCCACTTTGTATTTCCTGTGCAAATGGCCCAGGAGTTGTAGGCAGGAGAACAATTTGAGGTCCGGAATCTCATCAGTCAACACTATAATAACTGAAAAAAGAAAAAGTCATGTATTTCCTCTTTGCAGGTAATTTTTATGAGGTGGCCATAATATTTGATAATCACTCTGAAACAGAACACTGGATATGGATGGGGAGAGAGCCTGTGAAAACGTTTGCTAACACAAACATTGTAGACACAGGTACAGTCAGGGTAACACTCAGACCTTTATTAGGAGTGAGAGAATGAGGTTCAAGTTCTTCCTGGACTTTCCATTGTTTCAGAGGGTCTGTTTCACTTGTGATGGATTGGTTGTGATGAAGTCATGATTTTGAGCTGCAAGTTCCTCCCCTTCGTTGCTAAAGCCCTTCATGTCCTTCACAGAGAATTCAGAGTGAGCTCCAAGTAGAGCGTTCCCCGGGTGAGCCGTGAGCGCTGCCTGCAAACCTGGTTGTCCCCTCTCCTGAAATAATGGCTGGAATTAGTGAAAAGAAGGGAGGGCACGCCTTTTGCAGAGACACTGATATCACAATGGCTCACGTCAGATGCAATGTCTTTGTCTCTTTTTCTGTCTTACAGCTCTCCAGCCCTCTCGCCTGTCTCCTTCCCCTCCCACCTAGCCTGTCCTTGCGTGGCCTGGTGTGTGTAGAGCTGCCTGTTAATGTTAGCATTAATCAGTGCTTGCAAAGTGAACCAGTTACAGTTTAAAAGAATTGTATTATCTGATCCCCTGAACCCAAATCCAGTGTGTCAACAAGGAACATAGTGCATGTTTAACCTTGATTCACCAGAGTAGGAGGCAGGGAGCAAAGCACTTGCTGTGTGTGGCAGACTTTGATGTCACAGCCCTGTCCCCCAGTAAATAACTACATAAACAATCAGAGCTCTTATTTCCTTGTTGCCTAGTAGTACCTGCAAATCCTCGGAGAGGAAGTGAACATACTTCATTTCCTCTCGTGATATCTGCCATTCCTCCTTCTGGCTTTCCTCTTGCCCTTTCTAACCTGTTTGACTATCCACGTTGGTCCATCATAGTTTGAGTTACAGGGAGTCACTGTGGATAAAGTGGGCAGGCTAGATTCTCCCACATGGCCAGAGCATCACTCACCTGACCCCATGTTCTGTGGGTGCTTTGAATAACATCCAAGACTTACATAGTGCTTACTGCCTGCTGGGTAGTGTTCTTACCACAGACGAGGTTGGTGCTGTTATCACTTCCGGTTTATGAATGAAGGAATTGAAGCTTAGTGAGATTGTTTCTTACCCAAGGTCACATGGCTAGTAAGTAGGGGAACAAGGATTTGAACCTGAGGAGTCTGTTTCCAGGGTCTGGGCTCTTCGCTCTTCAACTCCACTGTTCTCAATCAGTGATTTACCATGAGCATTGACTGTAATAGTGATGGATGGTGGGACTGAAAATTCAAATGGAGTGTGCCCAGTTACATGTGAGCTGGAATTGCCATTTAATTTCTTCAACTAGATCAAACATTGTCGTGATAGAAAAGTAGATGGGGAAAGAAGGTGGAAGTGTGGATAGAAAAAGTGTAGAGAGAATAGTATTTGAGGACAAGGAAACTATAAGTCACATAATTAAAGACGTTAACTGCAATGAGCAGTAGGCTAATAGAGCGTGTGAGCCTCCCAAGCTGTCTGTCTTGATTGTTTGAAACCTTACGATACTCAAATGAGGATGTGGGGGAAGAAATGACAGGATTCTTAGAACTGTTAGATGATGAGATGTCTTATACTAGAGTGAAGGACAAAAGCTCATGAAAGAATCATGAGGGACACACATTCTTCATTCAGTTCCATGAAGATGAAACTTACCATTTTAGTCCATAGCCTGCTTATTCAGTTTCGAGTTGATAAAATGTAGCAGATTTAATGTCTTACCACATTCAGCTGCCTTTGTTAAAACACAGACATTCATCTTGGGTGGCTCTTTAGCTGAGTTTGTTTTTACTGAAATAAAATCGCTGGCACACGATTATGGAAAAAAATCCAGTTTCATCATATGCAGTGTACTGTTTTCTACACTGGAGAATTTTGAGTGCTTTGGAAATAATAAGTCTGTTTCCACAATTTCCTGCTCTCCACTAGGTTCTGGGAACACCAAATGAGGACACGTGGCCTGGAGTTCATTCTTTACCACATTTTAAGCCAGGTATGTTTTGTTAATTACAAATAACTAAGTGTTTCCTATGTGCAAAGGGTGCATATATAAATGTTCCCCCTCAAGTTAATATGTTACCTTGAAAAATTCTGGTTCCTTTTGCCATTGTGTATTCTCCCTATTAATGGAGTTGTCCTCTTGTTTTCAGAATTTATTTCTCTGTAAAGATAGAACTAATGACATCCCTTATGAGGGATTTTCACCATGTGTGCATTATTTGATTTGACTGGCTAATCTTGAAGTAACCATTCATTTCATCATCAGTTAGACTAGCATCCATGTCTATAAAAACAAAATTTAAATCATGGTACTACAATCCATCTGTATGACTTCTTGTAATCATACAAGAAAAGTATTCAACTGTGAAAGGGAAAACATCACATTTTGATTTATTTTTTAAAAAACTAGTAATCTGTGGTCAATTAATTTGAATTTAAACGTCTAAAATGTTCTGAATGTCCTATTGTACAATCCTGTTGTACTTTTAAAATGTAAAACATTTAAACCCCTACACTGGAAAATCTGAGAGAAAATGCGGAACTTTTCAATAAGTTGTCACTTTTTTTTTCAACAGTAGGTGGCAGTCAAGAAACTTTGAATTTTAATAATTACACTTAGAGGAAGAATCGCAAACATGGTCTATTTCATTTTTATAGAAGGGATGAAAGGTTTGGAATTGGAAATTTAATAAAAATCAGTGGAATAAATTATTGTAAAATGGTTCTCTTGTTGGTTGTTTTTTTTTTTCTTTTCTCTGTTACAAAACACGGATTATAAAATGCAGACCCACCATAAAAATTACTGAAAGGGATTTTATGGAAGATCTAACAGTCCATTATTTTATGAGGGAAAAGAGCTCTGAATATTTTCTGTTATGGGAGCCAAGTATATTCTCTTTCTCCTCTTCTCCTCTTTTGGGGGAGCATCAGGAATAAATTATCAATTCCAAAGATTGACTGAGCTGGGAAACTATTTTTATTCTTAATAGTTTTCTTCTGAAAGTGTACGGTGTGCTGAGAATTCTTTTATCTTCCTCACCTGCCTCACGGACTCTGTACTTTTGCTGAAATTTTTAAGTAACTTCTATGTTCTAAAAGACTATAGAAACTTAACAATCTAAGATGGATTTTTTCCCTCTTTTTTTAACCAAGCAAGAAGCAGCCACTAACTGCTCCAGTGGTTCCTAATGGAGTCTGCGTGAGACTCAGCTCTTTATAAATGTCCCGGATGTGGGCTCGCTCGTACAGAAGGTTAGCTTCCCCATGTTAGTATCTAACATCTTAAGTCCTAGGGAAATAAAACAGAGCAGACTCTGAAATGATTTTAAATGATTAAAGTTAGATGCAGAAAAGAACAATTAAGACAGTCATTTGACCTGCCAAGTTTCTGCAGTAGAAAATATGGAGTAATTTGTTTATTTTGGTGTGAATAGAATTTATCTTTACCAAAAACATACAAAAGCATTTATTAAATGTGTTCTAGAAAGTACTATGATGTAGTGCAAATTAAACTAACAGATTGGGAACTTCATGAGATCAGAGACTGTGCATGGTACATATTTTGGTGTTCAGTTAATGTTTGTTGCCTTGAATTATGTTGAATGTTTCAAAAAACATGAGTTATATGACTCTTCTGATAGACATATAAATTAGAATATGTATGTTTAAGTTATTAATATCATATACAAGTGCCACTACAGACACATAGAAGGTAATGGGAGTCCAGAAGAGTACCATGTTTAGATGGTGTAAGGCATGGGTGCTGACAAGCAAGAAAGATAATCTGGGCAAAGCTTGGGGCTTGTGGATAAGAGTAGATGTGATGAATGCTTCCTGAGTTGGCTTGAGAGGATTCAAGGGGAGACAAGATCATAGACTGAGGCAAAGGAAGCAAATCTATGTGTCCCTTCGTGCAGCACTTACCCAGACCATCAGGGGAATCCTGGTCTCTGACCTCCCGGACCTCATGCTCCAGGGGAAGAAAGTGCTCATTCTCAGAGAAGAAAAATATCAGTGCTAGACTCCCCTCCTCTCTACCTCCATATTCTACCCCCAAAGAGTGCCTTAGAAAGTCTGAGGGAAAACAAAAAGTCTGACCCACAAGGACATAATTTGTTTTGTTTAACAGAGTTTATTTTTTAGAGAAGTTTTAGGTTCATAGAAAAATTGAGCATAAGGTACAGAGATTTGCCATATACTCCCTGCCCCCACCCAAGCACAGCCTCCCAATTATCAACATTCCCCACTACTGTGGTACATTTGTTAAAATTGATGGACCTCTGTTAACACATCATTATCACCCAAAGTCCATAGTTTACATTAGGATTCATTCTTGGTGGTGTGCATTCTGTGGATTTGGACAAATGTGCAATGAATGATGTGTACCCACCATTATAGTGTCACATCAAGTAGTCTCACTGCCCTAAAGCATCCTCAGTGCTCTGCCCCTTCATCCCTCCGTCCCCTCGCCCAACCCCTGGCACACTGATCTTTTTACTGTCTCCATAGTTTTGCCTTTTCCAGAATGTCCTATAGTTGGACAGGATGTTGCCTTTTCAAATGGGCTTCTTTCACTTAGTAATATGCATTTAAGTTTCCTTCATGTTTTCTTCTGGGTAGATAGCTGATTTCTTTTTAGCACTGAATAGTCCATTATCTGGATGTACCACAGTTTATTTATCCATTCACTTACTGAAGAGCATCTTGATTGTTTCAAGTTTTGGCAATTATGAATAAAGCTGCCATAAACATCCATGTGCAGGTTTTTGTGTGGACGTAAGTTCTCAACTCTTTTGGGTAAATACCAAGGAGTATGATTACTAGATCGGATATAATACTTTGCTTAATTTTTAAAAATTGTAAATTTAAGCAATTCAAAATATCAAACAATATAAAAAAGGAGCATGGTACGAAGCCTCCCCACCCCTGTCTGCCAACTGCCCTCTTCCCCAGAACCACTGCCCCCACTGCAGGCCCCTATTTTATTAGTTTCTTATGTTTCTTTCCTTTATGTGAATGTAAGACATTACGAATATATATTTTTATATTTCCCATGTTAAGCACAATTCTGGGCCTTGAGTCTCTCATGAATGCGTCCTGTAGGTCTTCTCCTGTCACTATGGAGAGGAGGCCAGTGAGGCTTCCCTCTACCCTTACAGCTGCATCATTTTCCATTGTATGGATATCACCTGTTCCCTACTTAGGGACATTTGGGTTGTTCCCAACATTTTACTGTTATACATATTATAACCCAGTACTTATACACATCGCTTGTATGCAAAAATATCTGGAGGATAAATGACCAGAAGTAGGGTAAAAGAATCAATAAGTATATACAGTTATAATTTTAAACACTGCTGTCAAATTGTTGTCCAAAAGGTGTGGTACCAGTTGGCTCCGTTACCAGCAATACGTGAAGATGCTGCTTCTCCACTCCACAGGCCAAACTGTTAGATCTTTTCAATCCGTTAGATGACAAAAGGGATCTCAATATCATTTTAACTTGCATGCTCCTTTTTATGATGAGGTTGAGCATCTTTTCATATGTTTCAGGATCACTTGCATTTCCTTTTCTGTGAACAGTTAATATTTTTTGCCCAATTTACAACTGAGTTATGTGTCAATTTTGTATCAATTTCTAGGGATTCTTTATATATTTGAGAAAGTATCCCATTGTCTATGAAAAGATTTTGCTACTCTGGAATTTAAAAAAAAATGATTCTTTCTAACTTTTTAGCAATTTTGAAAATAATCCTCACTCTCATGTCTTACTCGATTCGCCTAACTGAATAAATTTTGTCCCAAGAGGAAAAAAGCCATGATGGTTTAGAACAGTGCAGTCATTATATATTTTTAAAGATGAGTTGCTGTTTTAGATATGTGTATAAACTTATATATATGTACTTTTATAGGAAAAAGCAATTTATGTTTTCAAATGGATTATTTTATGGCTATGATCTAGATCAGGAGTAAAGCTAAAAAGATCAGTCTCTTGGTTTCAACATATTCTAATTAACTAGTAGGTCATCTTTTTAAATTTATTCTTACAGTTAATTTCTAGAATAAGTTAAATTTATTTATTAATTCAACAGTATGTATCGAGCGCCACTTGTATGGCCAGGGAGTAGGGATATTGCAGTGAACAAAACACACAAGATCCCTAATAGGTAGGAGAGACATTTAATAAGTAAAATATGTAGTATACCAGGTGGGGGTGAGCACTGTGGAGGAAAATAGAGCAAGAAATGTGTTCTGGAAGTGCCAGGGAAGGGGGTGATGTCCAATTTTAAATTCTAAATGTATCAAGGAAGGCCTCACTAAAGAGATGACATTTGCCTGAAGGACATGAGGGAGAGAGCCATGAAGATCTTTGAGGAAAGAACTTTCCAGAAAGAGAACAGAAGGTGCACAGGCCCTGAAGTGGGAAGGAGAGGGGCTAGAAAATGAGGTCAGAGGGAACAGGGGCTGGGGCCGCTCATGGAGGGCCTGGGGGGCTGCTAGGAGTCCTTTGCCATTTACTCTGAATGAAATAGAAAGCACTGGAAAGTTTTGAACAAGGCCACGTTACATTTTAGTAAGATCACCCTGGCTCTTCCTCTCGGCAGGGGCCCCAGGGCAGAAGCAGGGAGGGCAGTTCCGAGACTGTAACAGGAACCTAGGGGAGATGAATAAAATTATCTTATCTTCACAACTGCTCCATTTTAGCTCAGAACTTAACATGGTTTTCCCTTGAAAAGTATGGCAAAACTGGAAGAACATTTTAAGAACAATTATTAAAATATTAAAAGAACATTAAGTAACAAATAAGTTTTTTACTTTAGTATTTAGCCTGTATATCCTCTCCTGCTCTTACATTTATGCTAACTCAAAATTCCTTAACCTCAGCTTATTCCCATAGTGGTCAGGCAGCTGGGACAGGCCACAGCTGCATAAAATAAATAAGTATGTAGTGCCCAAGTGCACACACATGTGTGTGTATTGCGTATAGTAAAG